ACGGGCGGGGGGGGGGGGCTCGTCACTGAATGACATCCAGTAAATTTCTAGCGGGGACCAATCAGAGGGCTGCTGAATAATTTGAATAATTTATCAAGGCCCACGGACGCGGTTCTTTCACTTGTAAAGTAGCCAATTATCACCGAGCCGGTGGCACACGATGGGCGAAAACATGTATTTCACACCCATTCTTCGTCGACATAAAGCGCTTATACATTACAAACAGAATTTTCGTAGGACTGCCATTACTTTAGTTTGCAGCATGTGTATTGAGAACGAGTATCTTCATAATTCTGCTTGTTGTTTGTAGAAGAACGGCAAAATAAAACAGTTTTCAATACCAACACGACTTAGCAGATAACACGTAATGAAGCCCACTTTTTTACGCAGATTGTAGCACTACGTAATGTTACACAAACTAACAGTAGATGTTTTAAGGAATTCACAGAAATGACAATGATAGATAATGTAACGGATAAACATTATACAGCACAAAATAAAGAGTAACAGTAATGTAGTCGTCTTTGGCCGGGTATGGCAAGTTATAGTACGTACATGTATCGGTTCAATCTTTAACGGGTAAGTTGACAGCAACAAGCAAGATGCATAGGTTCTGTTACTTTTGTAGCTCACTTGCGTCTAGATATGGGACGAACCCATGTTACTTTTTCGCCGCAGTTTTTCATGTAGTGGTTACTTCGGCAGCCTTTCCGCTGACGCAAACATACTAGTTTGAGGTTCCACAGTTCTTACAACGTTAGCGCTGGAAGTGGTGTTTTCCAAGTTTGTTAGTCTGGTGATGTTGTCTTTGTTGGCTTGTTGTCTGTCATTTCCCTCCATTTTTATGTTTGGCGGCCCGTCTTCGATGGGTTGTGTTTGGTTCACAAATCTCGGCTTCGCTAAGATCCGTTCCTTCCCGTACGTAGTGGTCGCTCCATTAGCGCTAGTGCAGCCACATTTGAATGTGTAAAACTTAATGTCTACAGTCCCGTTTTGATTCGTTCATCAAAGTAGATTTTACTAAGGTATGACTTTACTAACTGATTGTGGAAGTACTAGTACTTAGTACTGAAGTAAACAAGAAACAATATACGCGCTCTGGTTGAGTTCATGGCATTTACATGAAACAAGGTGCTAATAGCCGCT